CATTTAGATATTAAAAGTTAAGCAAATAGCCCAGCTGGCGAGGCTCAGGGGTTGAGCTTCCACCTATGAACCAGGAGGTCCCGCTTTCGGGCTCCATCCCCAGTAGGGGGCGGGCAGGAGGCAGCCGGTCAATGATTGTCATCGTTGATGTTTCTCCCTCCCCTTCCTCTCTGGAATCAATAAAAACGTATTTAAAAATCATCACAGATGCACAGCATTGGGTTAAGCATAACCCTTCATTTCCGTGACATTATACCGTGGGGATGGGCAGGTAAGACCCTCGCTGCCTTCTGTGCTCCCTCGTCCTTTCCCTCCTCCCGTTTCCTCTGCCTTCGCCCTTTATTTCTCCTCCTGTCCTTCCCTCCTCTCTCCCTCCTGCCTCCCTGTTTTCTCGCTCCCTTCTTTCTCTTCCTCCTTTCTCCCTTCCTCCTCCCTTCCCTCTGAGGTTTTCATACTCGTGAAGCTGGAAAGGGCATTTGGAAACCCTTTATTTCCTGCCTCCCCAACCAGAACATAAGCTGCGAGGGAAAGGGGGGCCCTTTCTGCTCTTTAGTGTGGCCTTCGTCTGTGACAGGGGCCGCCTTAAGCTCCTTTCAGGCGGGGCTCCTGCGGTCCTCACACCTGTGAGGCTGGTCTGTCATTATCTGATTATTACTCGCCATCTAGCGGAGAAGGAAGTTGAGGCACAGAGGGGTTCAAGAGTGTGACCCCCGTCACAGGGTCACTAAGCGGCAAAGCAGGACAAGAGTCCGGGCCTCCAACACGTGTCGGCTGGACCAAGGCAGCAGGAGCACAGCCTGGTGGCACCAAACACCGAATGCAGAAGGTTTCAGTAAGAGATGGACCCATTCCGCCAGCCGGTGTGGCTCAGGGGTTGAGCACTGACCTATGAACCAGGGGGTCCACAGTTCAATTCCCCATCAAGGCACGTGTGGGGGTTGTGGACTTGATCCCCAGTAGGGGGCGTCCCATCAATGATTCTCATCACTGATGTTTCTGTCTCTCCCTCTCACTTCCTCTCTTGAAATCAATAAAAAAAAATTGTTTTAAAGAGAGAGATGGATTCATTCTAAAAACAAACTAAGGAGTTTTTTTAAAGACAATCGTGAAAATATTTTTGAATAATTTTTAGTGATATGAAAATATGTTTTGATACGACATATTACAGTTAAGTAAAAAAGCAAAATAAAGGTATTTATCATGCAGGTAACAGGTCTTTATACTTTGGTGGATGAATAGTTGACTGTCTCCCCAGCTAGAATGTGAGTTCCTGGAGGGCAGGGTCTGTGCCAGTCTGCTCACCACATGTCCCCAGGGCTGGGCAGAGTACTGAGCAAGGAGCCCACTTCATTATGTGGTTTATTGGATGGATGGATGGATGAATGAATGAGGTCTCTAGCATAGATTGACACTTAACAGAAATTGAAAAGAAAAAGTCATTAACATATTTTGAAGGTTTTTTAAGTGACAGAAATATTAACCATAAAGCAAGAAAAAGTGTTTCTCAAACTTTAAACCAGGTCCCTCTGGCTAAGATTTTGTTAAATATTACCACATAGAATTATAGTTTATGTCATGGAATAAAATGTTTCTTCCTCTTCAGTTTTCCTAATATAAAATTAAGTCATAATCTTGAACATGCTTTTTCAAAAAGCCTGCCTGAGCCCCTGGGGAGAGTCTGATATGTTACTCTGCAATCCTACCGCTCCGTACAGGACAGGTTTGGCAAGTTGGCAACCCCAGTTCCGACCCTGGCTCACAGACCTGTTTTGGTCGGCCTCCTGGTGTGTCTCCCCCCCCCCCCACCTCCCCTTTTTAACTCTTTTGGAAAAACTAACCTATACAAATAGTATAATGAATGCTGATTATCCAGATTGAACAATTCATGGCCAATCTTGTTTCATTGACACCTCCACCAACTCTTCCTCCTACATTATGTTGAAGCAAATGCTAGACATGCCATTTCATCTGAAAAAATTTCATTTCTCTCAAGATAAGGGCAGCAAACTTTCCCCATGAGTTCTCACCACCACGATGTCAGCATTGGCCGCTGCCTCCTCTGATAGAGCCAGCTCTACCCCTGTCTGCCTGCCTGCCTGCCTGCCTGCCTCCCCAGGACCTGGGGCTGAATGCTCACTGCCTGACAGTGTAGACACTGGAGAATTAGGGCATAAATTATAATCTGAGTGAGTGGATGTGTGAATGCATGAATAAAGGAGTGAGCAAGTGGACAGAGGAGTGACGGAATGAGCAACAGAATGGATGAAAGAATCAGTGAGTGAATGAGCAAATAATTGAATGAAGGAGTAAGCAAATAAACCGGGGCCAGACGTGGACTCTGGACCAATCAAGCCCTTTAGCCCCTCCATGCCTCAGTTTTCTCAAATGTAGAACAGGGATCATGCGTTGTCATGATAAGTGATGTAGAATGTATCGATTGTTTAGGACTATGTCTCGCCTAGGGAGGTGAGCCCTCTGCCTCTGTGAAATGAACACACAGAGGCGCACGGAGAACCGGCGGCCCGGACCTACCGAGGAGCTGGACCTCGTCGGTGATGCCGTACACGTCGATGAGCGCCCAGAGCGGGCCGCCCACGGCCACGCCGCAGTGGAAGAGCACGGGCTCGCCGTCGTTGACGCTGTAGAACACGCGGCCGTGGCGGTCCACCCAGTAGGCCAGCACCGTGTCGCGCAGCGCCAGGTTCTCGGGCAGCGCCTTGGCCCAGTAGCCGGGCCGCGTGACCAGGTCCGGGCAGGCGTACTTGGGGATGTCCTGCGGGCTCATGAGCG